AAATATCATCTGTGTTGTCCTACGCCCTTGACAAGGGATACTCTGGTATTGGCTCTGAAATCCCCAGGATCATAAAACCACCCCTGCCCCCAGCAGGAGCCTGCACATACGAGGCCTGAAGACCACGCAGGTCACAGTGGCCCCCTGGGTGGTCCAGTCACAGCTTCAGGGGAGAGCAGACCAAGCCTGACATTATGACTTTGGAGTGAGGATAAAATTCTTCTCTCTCTCTCTCCCTCGCATCAGGAGGCACAGCCAAACTGGCCTCACACCTGTCCACATCGCCTGCATTTTTCTTACTGAGTCATCATCGGCATGCCACACACATCTTGAAACCAAAAATTCCCTCCCAACACCTTATCTGTATAAAACAAACTTTTTAACGGAAAATGGTACTCTGTCCCTAGGGTCCCTCTGACATTAAGAATCAGCTTAGGCAGCATTTATGCCTGATCTTACTGGGGGGGATAATTAGCAAATTAGCTAACTGTGATGTTAAAATACAAATTCCCATGCACCAAAAAGTAGAGGGTTTAATTCCCAGTCAGGGCACATGCCCGGGTTGCATGCTCGATCCCCCATAGGGGGTGTGCAGGAGGCAGCCCATCGATGTTTCTCTCTCCCTCTCCCTTCCTTTCTAAAAAAAAAAATAATTAAAAAAAATCAACAAAAACATTATTTTTAAAACATCTTTTAAAAATCCTGCCTGCAGAAGTAGCTGACATAACAAAGCTGTGGCACCTGTACACTCACGAGGCCTGTTTTACTGAGAAGCAGGAGATTAAACCTGACAGTGAGCGTCAGCCTAGGAGGGCCTGGGGGACAGCCCACTTACACTCTGCGACTCTGCGCTTCAGGGGAGGGAATACACCGCACGCCACACACCATCCCGGGAGGCCCCCGGCTGCCCCCGGAAGCGGATGGAAACTCAGGGCCCTCAGAAGGGGGAGCAGTCAACCTGACGCTGGTGGGCCCCACCGGGCTTGGACCGAGGGGCCCACGGCACCACACACACTTCACGGAACACTGTGTCCCGTTCTCAAAGCGCGCCTTCAAATGTAAGTGTTCGACCATTATTCTTTCTTCGAGGTCCAAAAGGCCATGAGCACGGGAGGCTCCGGGCAAGAAGGGCCTGCTGCCCACCTCGGCGAGGAGTCCGGCGTGGCTGCCTCTCCGTCCTCCCCAGCTCACTCTGGCATCCATTGTGAGCGCCCAGTAACATGCCAGGTGCCGTTTTAGGGATTCAAAGTAGTATGGTAAATTCCCTGCTCCCTCTTCTACTCCGCTGGCAGAAAGGAGGGTGCCATACCCTGTGTGTCTCCCGGGCGGTGGGACACTGCCTGCCACTCTCCAGCTGCCTGACCTCGGGGGAAGTTCCATGGCCTCTGTACTCTGGTACCTGGGATGGGAATGTGGGACAAAGTATCTGTGAGAGAGGGAAGCTGTAAGGACCCAAAGGGCACTTCCAGCACCTGGGCCTGGCTCGCAGTCAGCGTGCAAGGAACGTTAGCTGCCGTCCATCGGGGCTGCCAGTAAGACAACGCCAACTGCGCTGGATGCTGAGGGAGATCTAACTGTGCTGCCTTCCCTTTTTTGTCTTTAGTTGGGAGGTAGATTAAGGACGCACCTCGCGTGCTATTCCATGCATGTCCCTCCTCGCTCTCTACAAGGGCCAGAAAATAAAAATAATGTGACTGACGAACAAGAGGAGGAGGAGTAGAGAAAAGACAGCAGAGCAAGTCAAGGACACGCTCGGTGACAGACGTACAGACGGGGGTGGCTTATCTGGATACCTGAATTGGGTGTTGACAATAACATGGTCAGGCACAAGCAGGAGAGGACTGAAGGGCCAATTGAAAAAGCACTGAGGCGCTTGTGAATGAGTTAGCTGTCAAGCAGCAGCCTCGCCTCCAAGGGCCTCCAGGTTCACGTCCCCCGGGCTCTCCTGAGCACATCATGCTGTCACTAGGAAGGTATGTACCTTTAATAACAACAGCCACAGCCAGGCCCCCCTCCCGGCAAGTCCTGACACACTGTATTTGGGGATACAGTCATTTATTTGGGGGGGGAGGGGATCTAAAACCACAGCCCTGGTGTGGGGTCCTTCCGTATAATCTCAGGCTCTGACTACGCACCTCGGGATTGTAGCTCACAGGGCGAGGGCCAGAATTCGTTATGCAATCGTGCGCAGAGGAATTCATTGTGTGCATAAGCTGCGTGAGCACCAGGGATTCTGTTTTTCTCTAAATAACGCTGGCTGGCTGTTCATTACACATTAACCTTGCTTTTATTCCATCCCCTCCGTGCGCCACTCTGAGATGGCTTGAGATCCCAGGTAAGGAGGCTGCTGAGAGAAAAATATCTTCCACTAGTTCTACAGACTTGTTTAGGTCCCACCAACAAAGTAAGACAATTCATCCGCCTGGCTCTGTTTTGTAAGTTCCTCCTTATTATTAATAATAAATTACGCCTCGCAGTGGTGTCATGGCCTTATGCCGTGCGCTGTTCTGCCACCCCACACCGAATGAATCTGTCTTCCTACGACATCTTACAATGAGAGGGGTTACCGGAGAGCAAACGTCGTCTTACATAAGGCTCATTACTTAACTCCGTTAAAAACACACACACACACACACACACACACAAAAAAAAAAAACAAAAAACAAGAAACGCAAGATGTAGTAGTTCCCTGAGAACTAGCCCGGGGAATCTCTGAGAAGGTTTGGCGCAGAGCGTGGAGGAGGCAGAGAGAGCAGGTTCCAGAAGGACCTCACACCCCGAGGCCTGAGAAGCGGAGGCAGGATGTGTCCGGAGGCCTCCTGCCCCAGGTGGTGAGGGGTGTGTGTGTGGGGGGGGGGCAGGTGGGCGAGCACATCCCTGACACCTGGGGACCTACAAGGTTTCCTTCCCACGGCCTCCCTCCTCCCTCCCAGCGCAGGGCCCAAATCAGAGAGGAGAGAAAGAGGAAACCAGAAGCCGGGGTGGAGTAAACGGAGCTGACATTCGGAAACAGGGTCAACAGACAACCACGTAGTCGAATCCGACAGACTTCAGCGTACCCCGGCTCAGCCACAGAATGGCAAGCGGCCTCGGAGGCCGTGATCTAACCCCCGAACTCTCGTTTCTTCCCCTCTAACGGGGACGGTGAGCAGCGGTGCTGCGGTGAGGGTTCCCTGGAATCAGGCACACGAAGCCCTCGCCCCACGCCATCTGAACGTGGGCAGCCTCCGTCTCCCGGGTTAAACCCAACCAGCCTGCACGTTCTTTGCGAAGCTCACCGAAGTCTTCCCGTCCTCATCTCTGTGTCCGTGGTGGATGCCGGTTATGGGAGGTTCTTCCTAGGTTTTATGGACTGAATGGCTAGCCAGAGCTGTCCGCCTCCTATCCAACGGTGGGCGAGCAGATTACAATTCGACGCAGACGCCTCGGACCCCAGACTCCAGGGGTCACACTGGCATTTCCTCGCTCTGCAAGCTCCAGGGCGAGAACCAGTTCGTTTCACACACTGTTCCTACTTGCCAGCTGCGCTCCTCTGCTCACCACGGTAAACACACTAAGGACGATGATGAGCACGAGAGTTGCCTTCCCTCCATCCACTTTCAGAAGGGCCCTGTATTATTATTATTTTTTTAACAGGTTTTCTCAGTTTGCTTTCCATTGATTCACGACTTGTGAAGTTCAAGAGTGAGCTGCTGAGTGGATGACGTCTTCCTGCTTTTGACTTTTCTTACGTTATCATGCACACGCGGACACTTGAACGTTTCAAGCTGACAACAGATTGTCCCTGAGAACAGATAGTCCTGCTTTTATCTGTGTTGACAAGGCGGGCTTGTAAAGGCAGCTGTCCACCGGGCACACACATTTCTGTCCACTCCTTTTCCCGGATGGACACGCTGCCTGCAGGGGCTGGGAGGAGCGTGCACATGAGGGAGTAGGTGATCGCCAGGGTCACCTGGAAGGGACGGAGCCCGGAGGGTGGCAGCTGTGCTCCGAGCAGAGGGACGGTGAGGGAACAGGTGATGTCCGTAGGACCGGAGTCCTCCAATTTCCATTTTTATGCGATGGTTAAGCTCTCCAATAATGCTAACCCCTCAGAGGTTGGTGAAGCAAGGCAGGCAGGCAGACTCTGACGTCTGCGTGTATGAGAATTTAGGTAGAAGCAAGACTTCTTGACAGACGACTTACTCTACGGAATGAATTTCTGAAAAGAGTTGTCAGCTCTTTAATAGCTACTTTTAAAAAATGCCAGAAGGATCCCTCTTCAACACAGATTAATTTCTGACCCACTTCTGTTCACTTGACAATGCAAATGTGCTTCTTAACGATCAATACTCTCTACTGGGTCTGTCAGTGTGAATGTCCCAGCCCTTTTCTACAGGAGCCGAGGTGGACAGAGGGTGAAGACCGACGTAAATCGGGGTGCAAAGAACCTTCCCAGGACGTGGGAGATGGGGGGGGGAGACTGGGGTTCGGGATGCCTCAGGCTCCTCTCCTTCCAACGGGATGACAGGGAGTGAGTGTAAGAACCAGGACCTCAGTAAAAGCCCGAGGGGCATGGCAGAGCCACGCTATCATGAAGTTGGAAATAGAGGGTGCTCAGAGCGAGGGCGGCAGGCGGGGAAACCCTCCCTGTGGCTCCTGGTGCCTCTTCTAGCCCCAGGCTCCCGGGCTCCAGAAGGCGTGACTAGTCGAACATGCAATGCTGGACTCATGGGCTTGGTTTCCCGTTTTATTTCCCTGCACTGACCTCTGGGTGTTAATCAGACTTCAAGGGAGCTGATGAAGATGTATACACGCTGGTGAATTATTCAGATTAGCCTATCTGCGGCGGTAAAATAAAAGACCCAGGATTCTCACTGCAAACGTGTGCAACGTTTCTCCTCCCCAAAGATAAATGTTATCTGCTGCCGGGAGCAGCAGGAAGCAGACGCGGGCCTGAGGAAATAACACACAACACAAGGACACGCTGGCAGAAGCTCGCCCAGCACGCCGGGGCTCACCTTCGCACACGGGGCAGCACTCCCCCGGCACCTTGACGGGGCTCATGCAGCTCTGCCCGCACGCCGTGGCCACGCAGCGGGGCTCCCCGCTGATGCACTGGCAGAAGGTGCAGTCGTCCTCCCGCCACCGGTCTCCGTGCGCCAGGATCTGGCCGTTGGCATAGCAGCCGGCGGGGTTGTTAAAGGGATACACCGGATCTAAATGAACACAAGAGTTCCCAGTGAGATCGAGGCCATTCTGCAACGTTCCTCTGTCTGTACCTACAGGCGGTTCCCCCTCCACCCCCTCCACCCCCGGTTCTCTGTGTCAGCAGTTCTTTCCCAGCTGTGGCCCACAGATGCTCGGGGCTGCAGGAGGTGTCTCTTGGGGACAAGCAAAAGCGATCACACTGAATTCCTGTCCATCCATCCATCCATCCTGCTGCTGCTGCTGCACCCAGGACAGGGGGCATATGGCATAAACACCAATGCCTGGTGCCTGGCCAGGCGTGGCTCTGTGGTTGAGCATTGAGCTATGAACCAGGAGGTCACAGTTTGGCCCCCCGGTCAGGGCACGTGCCTGAGTTGCGGGCCTGATCCCCAGTGTGGGACATGCAGGAGGCAGCCGATCAATGATTCTCCCTCATCACTGATATTTCTTTCTTTCTCTCTCCCTCCCTCTCTCTCTCTCTCTCTCTCTCTCTCTCTCTCTCTCTCTCTCTCTCTCTCTCTCCCCCCTTCTGTGGGTGATGAGGCTGCACCTGCCCTAGCTGAGCCATCCCGGGAGAGCAGGAGTGAAGTCCAGAGCACGGCGAGCAGAGGTCCCCAGGACTTGCCTAGGAACTGCGGGGACGCAGGGGAGGAGCTGCGAGCACTCCCGGGAAATCTCCAAAGCCCCGTGGAGACAGGTGACCCCAGGGCACCACTTCCTTTGGGGCGGTATTTCCACCGTGTACTGGCACTGACAACCCCTAAAAGACGGAGCACAGTGTCCAGAGAAGGGAGCCCCTGTGATAACCCTCACCTCGGGGGGGGGGGGGGGGGGGGAGGAGGGTGAGGGGAGACAGAGCGAAGCCGGTTCCGATACCAGAACCATGATGCCAGCGAGCGCACCCTCACCTTCGCACACCGGGCAGCACTCCCCCTCGGGCACGTAGTACCGCTCGCAGCTCAGCGCCCCGCACTGGGCGGTGAAGCAGATGGCCACGCCGCCCTGGCACCGGCAGAAGCGGCACTTGTCCAGGCGGAACATGTCCCCGTCGCTGTACTCCACGTTGTTGAAGACGCAGGCCGGCTTCGTCTCTGCAGGGAGGGCAGACAGACAGGGCCCACTCAGAGTCCCTTCCGGGCAGGGCTCTTGTGTGTTTCTCAGATGCTTCCAGAAAGATCTGTCTTCTACTGGAAGGGGGTTATGACTCAGGAAGACTTGCTAAGCTCGGTATAATTTTTTGTAACCGCAATAAAGCAATGTAAAGTAAAATTACACAAAACACATGGTCATCCTCTTTGCCCCGGGGAACAGAAATAGAAATTCCCCTTAGGGAAACCTACACCCATCACCCCCGCTCCCACCCCCCAACCCACACCCATAAGCTTGAAATAAAGGGAGCCACGTGACCACGACACTCCCATCACCCATCTGTGCTTTGCAGGGATCACACCTGTTCTGTTAAAACACGCTCTGCCTCCAAACGGTACCCAGGTCTTTTCGAAGGCGACATTCTTCTGCCCCTTCTGCCCCGTCCGTGTTCTTACCCGTGTTCTCTTCTCTTTCTGAGGCTAAGGAATTTGTAATTTTAACTGTGCGTGGCATTAACAAAGCTCTTCCTATATACTTTACTTTATTCATCCCCGTAACAAAACCTGCTGCCGCCACCAGGTTAGAAGGGAGGGGAGGGGTTCCTCGGTAGTTGGTGGAAGTCACACACTTAGCAAACGCAGCTCTTCGACCGAAACCGGGTGGACTTTCCGTGTGTCCTGCAGGTAGAATTCTCATCACGACAACAAGATTCAATTTTTTTTTCTCTCCCTAAATTCATTCTTTACTTCTAATTCGGGGTGACTGAAAAGAACTCCCAGCAGACAAAGATATCACAAGAAAAATAAAACTCCAGATGAGTATTTCTTGTGATTATAGATATAAAAATCCTCAAAAAGTGCTAGCAAACTGAATCCAGTAACATATAAAAATGATTAAATAGCATGACCAAGAGGGATTTATTCCAAGAATGCAATGTTGGTTTAATATCAAAAGGCAATTAATGTAGTATGGACTGTCAACAGGATAAAGGACCAAAAAATCCATTCAATCAATTCACTGATACAGAAAAGTCACTGGACAGAATCATATGCCCTTTCATGATAAGAACATTCAGTAACTTGAGTTGAAACCGGTTTGGCTCAGTGGATAGAGCGTCGGCCTGAGAACTGAAAGGTCCCGGGTTTGATTCCAGTCAGAGGCATGTACCCTGATTGCGGGCGCATCCCCAGTAGGGGTGTGCAAGAGGCAGCTGATCGATGATTCTCATCGATGTTTCTAATTCTCTATCCCCCTCTCTCTTCCTTTCTGTAAAATATCAATAAAGTATATATTAAAAAAAAAAAAAGAAAGAAAGAAAGAACATTTAGTAACTTGGGAATAGAAGGGACCATCCTCAGCTTGGCAAACAGCATCTTTGAAAAACTCACAGCTGAAGTCACACTGAGTGAAAGACTGAAGCCTTTTCCTCTAAGATCAGGAATAAGACAATGATATCTACTCTCACCACTACTTCTCAGCATTGTATCGGAGGTTCTCACTAGGTAATTAGGGAAGAAAAGAAATGAAAAGTATCTAGATTGGAAAGTAAGAAGTAAAGTAACTCTAGTTACAAATGACATGATCTTATATCTAAAAAAAATAATAATTCTAAGGAATCTACTAAAAATATTATCAAAACTAATTTACAACTTCCACGAAATGACAGGGTAAAATTGCAACTGAAAGAAATTGTACATCTATATACTAGCAATGAACAATCGAGCAATGATGTTAAGAAAACAACCCCATTCACAATAGCATCAAAAGGAATAAAGTATTTAGTAACAGATTTAATAAATGAAGTGCAAAACTTGTACTCTGAAAACTATAAAGCATCTTTTAAAGAAACGAAAGAAGGCTTAAACAAATGGAGAGACATCCCATGTTTATGAATTGGAAGAAACTATTGTTAAGGTGATAATATTCCTAAAACTGATCTACACAGTCAATGCGATCCCTATCAGAACACTAGCTAGTTCTTTTGCAGAAAGTTCAAGCCAATCCTAAAATTCATATGCAAATGCAAGGGACCCAGAATAGCCAAAACAATACTGAAAAGAAGAACAAAGTAGGAGGACACAGACTTTCTGATCTGAAGACCTTCTACAATGCTAGGAGACTCCGACTTCTGGATTTCAACACCTACTACAATGCCATCAAGGTAGTGCTGTACTGACATAAGAACAGGTTCATCATTCATTGGAATTAATTACCTACATTTATTGACTTTTGGCAAGGGTGCCAAGACAATTCGTTGAGGGAAAGAATTATCTTGTCAACAAATAGTACTTGGACAACGATATGCACATGGGAAAAAATGAGAATGATCCACTATGAATCACATCGTATAAAAAAATTAACTCCAGATGAACCATTAGAGCTATGATCTTCTCGTCACAGCCACAACTATAGAGTTCTTAGAAGAAAACAGGAGTAAATCTCTGTGACTTTGGAGTAGGCAATGGTTTCTTAGATATGGTGCCAAAAAACACAAGCAACGAAAGACAAAAAGAGTTAAACTGGATTTCACCAACTTTTGTGCTTCAAAGAACACCATCAAGGACAAAGGTAACCCACAAATGGGAGAAAATATATGCAAGTCATACAAAGGAGACGCATCCAGAATATACGAAGTGCTCTTATAACTCATTAATACAAAGAGAATCCAAACTGGAAAATGAGCAAACATCTGAATAGACGCTCTCCCAAATAAGATACAGAAATGGCCAACAAGCACGGGAAAAGACGCTTTTGTCACATCATCAGGGAATACAAACCCAAGTCACAGTGAGACACCCCTGCGTGTGCTCAACGGCTGTAATAAAAAACATAGAGATAGTGACAAGTTCTGATGAGGACGTGGAAAAACGGGAACCCTCTCACATGCGTGTGAGCATGTAGAGGGGCAGTTGTTCTGGACAACAGCGTGGCAGTTCCTCAAAATATTAAACTCAGAGCCGAAGCCGGTTTGGCTCAGTGGTAGAGCGTCGGTCTGCAGACTGAAAGGTCCCAGGTTCGATTCCGGTCAAGGGCATATACATTGGTTGCAGGCACATCCCCAGTAGGGGGTGTGCAAGAGGCAGCTGGTTGATGTTTCTCTCTCATCGTTTCTAGCTCTCTATCCCTCTTCCTTCCTCTCTGTGAAAAATCAATAAAATATATTTTAAAAAAATATTAAACTCAGAGTTACCATATCACCCAGCAACTCCACCCCTAGGTATATGCCCCGGAGAAATGAAAATATATAACATGAAAACTTGTATACAAATGTTCAAACAGCGTTAGTGACATGAGCTGCCTCCACGACCCCTCCCCCCCCAAAAAAAAGGAAAGAGCCTCCATGCATGGACAAATTTGCATCTATATCCATATCCATGTGGTCTATATCCATATAATAAAATATTTCTTGACCATAGAAAAGAACGCAGTTCTGACACATACTGTTAACACCAACGACCCTTGAAGACATTGAGTGAAAGAAGCCAGTCACAAATGAGCTACTGTATAAACTATGTATGTGAAATGCCCGTTCGAGGCACATCCACAGAGACAGGGACGGGGTTACTAGTTGCGTAGGGCTGGGGCTTAGGAGGAAACGGGGAGAGCCTGCTGAAATGAATTCCCAAGTGTCCGGGGAAATGGGCTGATGGAAGTGTGTTAAAAATTGATTATGATGATTACACAATTCCGTGAACACATTAAAAAAAAAAAAAAACCCACACACCACGGATTTGTACAACTTCACGTAATGAACTACACGGTATGTGTTTCAGTAAATCTGGAACCACCAAAACCCTCCCAAGCTAAGGATCGTCTCCTGAGCTAACACACCCTGTTTAATTAGGTGAGAAAAACCAGATTATGATGCACCCGTCTCCCAGGGGCTCATCTGTCCAACATCGTTTCTTCACACTCACCTCGCGTGCTCGAAGCAGACTCTCATTGCGTTTTAATTTGAGAGTATTTACATTTGGGTGGTACTTAAGGACAATGACTTTCTCATTTGTAACAACAATCCTGTGGGGAAGACATAAGTAGGAGCAGCCGTTTCTGCGATGAGGACAGTGAAACGTAAAGAGACTAGGGGACTCGCCCAAAGTCACCCAGGCAGTCAGAGCTGAGCAATGTGTGTGCCGACACAGGCTGTGAATGTATCTCACCTCTCCCCCAGTGCTTGCTGGATGTAATATTTCTTTTCTTTTTTTCAGAAAAATTAACGTTACTGTAAAAGAAATCGTCTCTTGGCTCAGATTTATCTTATTATACATTTAGCCACAAAATCTGGGCTGAGAGGAAGGAACTAGGCAGTTAGGCTGAAAGTTCCAAAATATGAGATGGGGTACTTTTACAATGAAATCTGGACTCCAGGGGCGGAGAGGGGTGGGGAGTGGGGGCAAAGTACCACACCACCACACAACACGGAGCATCCAGTCAAATGGAAGAAAAACGTTTATCAACCCATCACTAGTTATTCCTTAGCTGCATTCACCAACTGCATCTACCACGTGAAGCCACCAGCCTAGGGGTAAGACTTGAAGTTGGGGGAAGATCCTGGCTAGGGACACAGTGGAGCTATTAATATTTTCACGGTGAGGCGTGCAGAAGCGTAAGCAGGAGGGCGGGCCTGGGACAGTCAGGTTTCACTAGCAAATGCCCAGAAAGCAAGCGAGTGGGGCTTTGGAGGCATGGATAGTCCCCCAAAACACGGCCTAGAAAACACACTGGTCCATCCCTTAGGATGAAAAAAATAAAAATCCCACAACGTAACGAAATGGCTGTTGGATGCTGAGAGATGGAGAGGCTCTTCAGGGAAGGGCATGCCCAGGAGGCGCCTGTGGTCTCCGGGGAGCGGCAGCCAGTCACGCCCTCACCTGTCGGTGAACCTCAGCCGGCATGGAGACACCACCGCCTCTACGAGAGGCCCCTGAAATGGCTGCGGAGAAGGAAAACACTGCAAAGCAGCAGCGATTTGCTGCGTCCTCCGCGCTCCTCACGGCAGAGATGCACACACAGTGTCTTTTCGGCGACTTTCCGCGTTCTGAGTCTGCCCAGTTACATGCTGTGTCCCAGCTCCGAGGCCTCCCCTTCCCTCTTTAAGACATTCCAGAACCCCGGAAGGAGAGCCAGCCTGGTGGTGCCCACTGTCCATAGCCTGGACTGCCTGCCAAGTCGCGCTGATTGGCAGCTGGTGGGAGGAATGCCATTTTTAACGAAGGGAAGGCTGACACGCAGAACTTCCTATCGGCAGGGCAGTGCACAAACCCAAAGCGATACGGCCCTGCTGCTGCTCTCCCGTCTCCCAGCCGAACACGGCGGGCGCCCCGCCTCTGCTCTCGGCTCCCAGGGCTGAGCCAGACAGGAAGCCACGGGGGTGGACATCAGAAGCCGAAAGAGAGACCGCCGTGTTCACAGATGAGGAACCTCCGGAAAGGTCTCGGCAGGTCAGCAGCAAACCAATGCTCACCAAGACTGGGCTCATGGGTGAAAACCTTTTTCCCCCATGGGGGAAGGGAGCTGGTGTGCTGGAGTACGCCAAGCAGATAGTCTTTTGAGATAAGGGGAAAGGGAACAATACTTATAAAGGACTGCTAAATTACTGGATCACTCTTAAGCAGCATGAGCTTGATAAGGCCCAGGAACAGGCTCGGCCCAGCTCAATACATGCATATGAGGTCGACTCTGTCCTCTCGAAATGCCATATGCTTCCCATTCCCCCGAAGAAAACAGTGTGTGCCCAGAAGCATTACTGAGCATTACTGCTATGCAGACGGTGGCTTCTCGGTAGATGTTTCTGCACTAATTTTCTCATTAATAGACTTCAGGTCTGAGGTTTTCTAGGTCAAAGTTTTGCAGGTGGTCACGCTGACTGGGTAAGGTTCTCCTGTGATGGCTCCATTTTTCGTGGTTTTTCTGAGGCTGTTAAGAGTCAAACCAGTGTCCTGTTTTATTTAGATGGTTGTCGTGCACCGTGGACCACTGGTCACACCTCAGGCACCAAATGGTATTTCCTATCGGGCCCCTGATATCTCCGATCCTAATGCCCCCAGGGACGACAGAGGTGGGCCAGGGTGCGTCAACAGGGTGCCCCGGGTCAGAATCGAGAGCACATGCCCCTCTGAGAGGAAGGCTGTCACTCAGCCAGGTGACGGGCGATGAACGCTTCCCTGTGGGTCGGAGCGGACCCAGAACCGGTCTTTGAAGGATGCCTGGGACTGTTCCACCCCGGCTATGAAAACCATACTCTACGTCAGTGTTTCCCAAACTTTTGACATATGTGTACCACTTCTATAATTTTCGTAACGCTGAGTACCCCTCGTACTCATGAGAATGTAGAATTAGGCGCAGCTAAGCACGGTGCAGTGCATACCCCCACCAAACTCTGGTGCAACGCGTATCCCCACCAAACTCTTCCCGTACCCCTGGGGGTACACGTACCACACTTTGGGAAACCCTGCCCTAGGTGATGATTTTGATGACGTCTACGTTTACACAAAAGCGGCTCAAGCACAGCATCTGTCCCTTTGGTTTCTAAACAACGGGGCTCTCGCTCCCCAACACCCTGCAAGGCCCGCCTCCGGCCCTCGTCTGAGAAGAGCGGTCACAACCTGTCACTATCTGGCTGGCCACCCTCCCGGCCTTCCGCCAAAACCAAACCAAAACAAACCAAACCGCAGAGGGAGGTGATGTTTACAGAGGCCGTTCTGTCTATCACCTCGTCCGGGCGAATGTTTTCGAAGCTCAGGAGCTCTCAAATTCTCTGTGACCATTTTGTCGTCTTGTGTTTTCACACACAAAGCACGTGGGCCATCTGGGTGGCAGCTCGGGAATGGAGCACAGCCCTGTAGCCTCCTCTTCTGCGTGTGGGTCTGCTACACTCAGTCACCCGCCGCCCTCCTCCCGGGCTGGGTTTGACCCACACCCACTCCTCCGTGTCAGGGAAATCTCCACAGGCAGCTAGGTTCCAGCTGTGTGTCCAAACGGTCCCTGAGAACTGCTTTCCCTGAGCTGCATCTCCCTCGTTTGCTTTTGTTTTTTCACTGAGAAGAGGAGCCACGGGAAACGGCTCTTTGCAGTGGTGTTGGAGCCACAGAGCACATCGATGGTCATTCACTCCATTTTACAGATGTGGAAACTTAGGTTGTTTGGTTCCTGTTCTATGTTCTCAGCCACAAAGCCACCTTGCAAGTACTTCTTCAAAGCAAAACAAAAAAGCATGTGACCACTGGACTGAAAACCTACAGGGCGCAAGGGAACAGGTCTCAACTGTCCTACAACCTTTCTTGTGGGGGAGGGGAGGCTTGGGAGGAGGGCGGACCATCTCCTGAGCTGAGTTCTTATGGGCAGGTGTGGTATGTGTCAGCCTGTGCAATTCTGTTGCCTGTGTCCCAATCCAGCTTCATGCTCCTTGCTGAGCCTAGAGAGTGACGAAGCAATGTGCTACAATTATTGACGTCTCCCTGGAGTTCCATCGGTGTGTTGCTTCTAGAAATCCTGACGGAGGTGCTTGTGTTAGTTTCCCCTCTCTTCCAGCATCTAAACTCAACGGACGCCCAGACCCCAAACACCGAGCCCTCTCATGCAAGGTGAAAGGAGAGGTGGACTCTATTTGAAGAATCCTGTGACCGGAGAACCCTATTTCTGGGCCACAGGATTTGAACTGTGGCAGGCCAGCCGAGGCTGGTTTGGCTCAATGGATAGAGGGTCGGCCTGCGGACTGAAAGGTCCCAGGTTCGATTCCGGTCAAGGACATGTACTTTGGTTGCGGGCACGTCCCCAGTAGGGGGTGTGCAAGAGGCAGCTGATCGATGATTCTCTTTCATCGATGTTTCTAACTCTCTATCCCTCTCTCTTCCTCTCTGTAAAAAAAAAAAAAATCAATAAAAATATTTTAAAAAAAAGAAAAACAAAGAAAAGAAAAGAAAAGAAAGCAGGCCAATGCCAGTGACCAACCACTGGCCAGGGATGTCCTCTCTGAGCAGAAAGATGTGAGCTTGGGGGAACAATGTCTTTTCTGTTTCAAACTGCGGCAGCTCCCCTGCGTGTGTTCCATCCACTGTCTCCCGGCGGCCGTGAGAGGAGGGGAGGATGACAGGAGCAGTACCATCCCAGGCTCTATGACCTTCTCCTTCTTCTTTTGTTTAAATCCTAAAATTGCCATGCTCCTGACACTGCAGAGTATGACAGCTCCACTCAACTTGCTATTCCATTTCCACAATCCTCTTTCGGATGGTTGGGATGAAGATTCATCCCCTCATGTTCCTTACCGCTCGCTGGGACTATAACCAAACCTCCTTTGGGAGGGAGTGTCTGTCCTCAGGTCCCTGTGTACACCCCCTGCCCGGTAAAGGGCAGAACCGGCTGGATGGAACCCTCCCACCTCCTCCTCCTCCGGCACCAATGTCCACGCTCTGAGAACAAGAGACCCCACGTACCATTAACACATTCAAAGACATCACAGCACTTTCCAGGAGTCCCATCGCCACGGGAGACTATGCGGGGAACGGATCCTGCCTCACACACGGGGAAACCACATAAGCCAGAGAGACACTCGCATCTGAAACCAAAGAAAAGGGAAGGAAAACCCCATGAATAAACAACAACACAGAACGGGGGAGACCACACGGTGGCTGTGGCCGGCGAACTCCACGAGAGGACTTGCTCCTGCAGATCCGGGGTTACTGGGGAGGCGGGGAGGGTTCCAACCTAATTGGCATGCCCCAGAACTCATCTCCGTGACACACACCCAGACTTTTAACATTTACCATTTTGACAGAAATATTCCCCAAGTAAATGCATGACTTCGTTACTTATTCAACGAGACCGTACTGAGCATAGCATCTTGCGGAGGACTCGGGGCCATTCCTATGGGCATGCACTGTGTTACCCCATAAATCCCCGAGGCCGGCGGGGTCACCGCAGAGGCGGGTCCCCAGTGCCAGGATGCTGCTGCTGTTGCTGACCTGTAGGTATTACCCAGAGATTTTTCTGGCTCTCCTTTCAACTATTCAGTTACTGGCTTTCCAGTCTTTTTTCTTTTCTTCTTCTTTCCCCCCCCACCCGCCCTGTGTGTCTAGTGGCACCCTCACCACACTAATTAACCTGTAATTGTGTCTAACAGACCATGGCTGGTGGCTCAGCAGCTCTCTCCCTGAAGGGCTGAGCTGCTGTAAGGGGGCTGTGTGCTGCCATCTGGAAGAGGACGGTCTTAGCCTGGGGTCTTCCATGTTGTGTGTGCCTTCCTCACTACCTGCACGAATGAGGGGCTCGAGGGCTCGGAGCTAGCTCTGGGGGCTCGCACCCGCAACTTCAACTCCTGCTGGGAGACTGGCCTTCACACGGGAAAACAGCGGGAGGTAAAAACCAGAGGAGAAAGGACCGAGGCCCACCGCCTGCTGGTCTGGGAGAATGAAACAGGAGGCAGGAAGGAGAAGCAAAGCACAGCAACAGGGCGTCAGGGCGCGAATGTGATATGGGGAGGAGCGGGGAGCCCGGGGGCGCGAGTGTGGTCAGAGGGTGGAGAGGAGGGCTGAGGGGCTCCCAGGCAGCCGGTAGTGAAAGGAAGACCTCAAAGGAGGCACCCGGCAGGAAGTGTGTGGGTGTTTCCCTACGTGAAGGTAACACGGCGGGCAGGGAGGGCCTAGGAGCACATTCGTGAACTCTGGTTACCCCCTTCTCAGGTAAGCGATTACACTGCTCATCTATTAAAATACTCCTGGAGTCCGCGGGAACCTCAGTTATCCGGTCCGGAGGTTTAACTGCATTACCAGTGAACTGCGGAACTAGAAGGAAACAAACGGCAGTTAACATCCGCACCGAAGACCACCCAGGCCCCGGGAGGGTGTGGAGGACCACGGCCGGCATCTCAGGCTTCGTCCGTGGGGGCGACGGCTACACTGGGTCCTGGGAGAAGCGGGGTTAGACAGTTAGGGTTTTGCTGCTGCAATGGTGTCTCTGCTTGCGGTTTAAAATGAACGCCTGCCTGTTTTCTGAGAGTGGAGCTTGGAGCTCTCGGGGTATAATCTGTCTTCTTACAGGACAACCACCCACAGGACCGAGTCACTACGAACTGGGCTTCTGGTCCTCAGTAGGGTTATTCTTTCTCCTTTCCTTTTTCTCATTTTTAGGCCCCCGTCACTGCAGCATTAAGCACAGAGCCACCGTCCTGCGACAGTCCAGTAGCAATCAACTGTTTACATTCAAACGATTACGTAAACTGTAATCACTGGGAGGCCCCCCCAGGCCCCGCTATCTGGATGTGATTACAACGCAGGAGTCCTACCAGGACAGCTGGGGCTCACATTCTTGCCTCATCATTTACCTTAAACTCCAAAGAGCAGGCAAGCAACCGGGAAAAAAAAAAAAAAAAAGTGTCTACACGTGTTGTCCTCCAGCCCCTCCGAGACCTTTCTGCCGCACAGTGTGCGCCCTGCCGGGCCGGGCTCTCTGCGAGGCCGTCAGAGATCACACCAACCCGAGAACCGTGACTGAGTGGCTCTGCGTCCTCTCTTTGCCCTTTTAACGTCTGATCCAGGCCCCAGCGTTCCAGGGTCTCTCGTTTCCCTAGAGACTCACCTCGGCTGTCCGGTGTCACCGGCATGTTTTGGAAGACCTGACACCGCATAAACCCGCCCTTGAACCCACTGAGAGAGGGAAACTAGTGAACTGCGCTGAAGTTCCGCTTCTAAACCAGAGTGGCTGCACAGGAGAGGCCCGGGGGCCGCCCGCCCGCCCGCCCGCCCACCCTGGCTTCTGCCTGCTGGCTCCTCCCGGCACCGTCCCCTGCTCTGCATCTCCCCTGGCAAGCTCTCCCGACCTGCTGCTCCTTTTGACTCCTCACAGCTTCCCCTGCACTGGAGACCTTGCAGATGTGAAAGATGAGCACCTTAACCCAGAAAAAAGTTCTCGAGGAAAGCTGGAAGTCTGGACTCATGGCAGAGAATGATCAAGCAACCAGCTCTGGGGTTGAAACGTGATGGAACAGCCGGCTCTTTGCAGGCGGAAAAAGGTGCACAGCGAGGTCACGGGGTTCAGCAGAATGCAGCGGGCGTGCGTGGCCTTATGTCCTCACGCACTCTGCCAGGTAACAAATGGGGGACCCTCATCTGCCAAGGAAATGCATTATGTCTACAAGTTAGGTGAGTCCAATGTATGCTTTAAAAGGCTTTACTTATCCCAGATCCTCTGGTTTATCGGTGCTGGAGGTAGGCATGCTTCCCTTGTCCAGAGGAAAGTAAGGAAGACCTGCTGTCCTGTGTTTTCCACTAGAAGAGGCTAGACTTTTTTCCTATCAAGCCATGGAAAGGAAGATCTGAAGCATGCACACTACACCTTGTCCTCACCAACTTTCCTCTTCATTTTTATTTAGTTTTTATTTTTTTGCACCACCCTTCTCGCCTCCCCTCTATCTTCCTACCTTTTGTCCCAATGCCTGAATAAAGAGCTAGCGAGGAGGGGATGGAAGAAATGTGGATTAGTGGGAGGGACAGCAGACTAACTTGAGGAAGAGGGAGACACTTATTAAATTGATGTCATCCCTTACCCTTCACATCTGAAACCCTCCCTCCCCCTCAACGTCTAGGCTCTAACGTGGTCCCCCCTCACCCAAACCTCTCCTTTCCCAAAACTAAGCCACATCCATCCTACGGCTGGCTCAGTGCCTGTACTCCGTAGTCCAAAATCTGCAATTGCCCCTCACTTGCTGGGTCCACTTCTCAGCCTTCCATTCAACACCCTCAGGCGCACATACCGGTTTCCCCAATCTCTCCCCCAGAATGTCTCTTCGCTTTCCTTTCGCTGCAGCCACCCTTCTATTCTCCAAACCAGCCCTGGCTGCACTGCACACACCCCCGCCCCCAGCTGTCTGTCTAGATCCCATCTGTCTGTCTAGGCCAGCCTCAAATAACTCCGGACTTTTCCAGACCCTCCTCCCACTGCTTTGTGGCAATGACATCATCATCTCCCCACAAGCTCTCTTTGGATCTACCATGTAGATTCGTTAAAGAAATACCTTTTAATGATGAAACAGAACAGGAGATGAGTAAATGGGGGACACTATTAACTAAAAAAACAAACAAACAAAAAAAAACAAAACGAAAGAAAATGAGAAGCAAAGCAGTTAGATTTCTATATTGTGAACTAAAAAAAGTATGCCAGGCATGATACTTTAAAGAAGAAATGCTGAGAACTCAAATTATTAAAAAAACAAACAAACAAAAACCCTACAAAAATAAATTTAAATAACGGCATTGAGATGAAACTCACATAGCATAAAACTCACCCCTTTCAAGTGTGTTAATTCGGTGGATTATACTCACAGGGTTGGGCAACCATCATGGCTACCTACCCAGACCATTTCCATCGCCTGGACTCTCCACTCAGCCTCGCCAGCCCTGGCACCCATTGGTCTATGTTCTGTCTCTAAGGATTGGCCTATTCTGGGCAGTTCCTATAAATAGACTCATACAATATATGCGCTGAGGGCTTTTAAACAAGAAGCAACCTGTCTTTGCCATCTGCCAGAAAAATCAAGCCTCTAACGTTAACCTCAGTATTAAGATGATGATCAATCAAGGTAGCATATCAATAAATGTCTGCATAATGTAATCACAGCTGCAGCCAGGTGGACTGGTTACGCTGTCTTCTTCTCCCTCCAACAGGTCATGGATTCAGCTCACGGGGCATCTGAGCGCGCAAGAACGATGATGACCAAACAGCACTCAGAAATCATCTCGGGCCAAGACCAGTTTGGCTCAGTGGATAGAGCGTCTGCCTGCCTGATTGTAAGGTCCCAGGTTCAATTCCGGTCAAGGGCATGTACCTTGGTTGCGGGCACATTCCCAGTAGGGGTTGTGCAAGAGGCAGTTGATCGATGTTTCTCTCTCATCGATGTTTCTAACTCTCTGTCCCTCTCTCTTCCTCTCTGTAAAAAATCAATAAATTAAAAAAGAAAAAAGAAAAAAAGAAAGAAAGAAATCATCTCGGCCCCTAGAGGGCACTCCGTTCCTTAGGAGGTTCCTAAGAGGCAGTGCACACGTAGGCTTCACGTTTGCTCCCTGGTCTGCAGAGTCCCAGACAAGGTGCTTCTAGTCCGGCCTCTCCTTATCTTTCAGCTTCCAGATTCCACGGGTTCCTCCTTATGCCCTGCAGCTGAACAACAAATGGCAGCATGCCACTCACTCCATGCACCCACCCCTGCCCTGTATCACCCCGTGCCACAGCTCAGATGTCCACACGCCTAACATCCCGGCCTCCTCTTTGCCCCGGTGAAGTCCACACAACCTCACACCCCCTGTCCTACAAGGCCATCTCTGACCAAGGAGTGGCCAGGCTCACCTTTCCCTCCTCTGACCTTCCGAAGTACCCTAGGTACTGAGCTCGTGGAGTGTACCTGCTCATCCCACAACATCAGTGTCCTACATTTTCTCCTGTGAATTCCCCTCGTGCTGGGGACACCTCTTTGTCATGTAAAGGAAAACAATGAATGATGCAGGCATCCAAACAAGAATCTGGAATGTTTTTTCATGGTTAGTAAATCAGAGATTAGGCCATGCATTG